GGGTCTCACGGTCTTTGCTCCTCTGGAGTTCCATGGTGGGTGGCTGACTGTTGTTCTTCCCGGGTCTCTTCCCGGCCCGTCTGGTGGCGGAGCCCTGTCTGGTGGCGGGCGGAGCCCTGTCTGGCAGCAGGTGGGAGTTCTTCCATCTGGTGGTGGGCGGGAGTTCTTCTCAGTGAGCTTCTTGAATACATATTCTCTCATTCTTCATTATGCCTGGGAAGTTTTCCACAACTTTTTCAGTGCCTCTGCTTGCTTCTTCCTTTTCTGTGACTCCAATGATGTACATGGTATTTCTCTTGATGGTGTCCCACATTATTCTTAGGTTTTCTTCTTCTTCCTTCTTTTTTGAGCCTGCTTTTTGCTCTAGCAGATCAATTGTGATAATTCTGTCTTCAATTTCACTGGTTCTGTGTTCCATCTCTTCAGCTCTGCTCATGTGTCCCTTCATCATGTTGACAGCCACTGAAACATTGGTCCTTACATTTTAGATAGTGGTTTCTTATTTTTCCAGTGCTGCTAATGCCTCTTTTGTTTTCTTTGCATTGTTCTGCATTGTTTTTTTGAGGCCCTCCTGGTTTTTGTTGTAGTATCCTATAATTCTTCAAGTTTATCTTTTGTCCATTGACTATATTCAATCATTCTTCTTTTAAATTCTGTGTCAGAAAGCTCCATCTGACTTTCTGGATTCAGGAAATCCATTGATCCTGTGTCACTCTTTGGGGGTGACATCTTTCTTTGCTCTTGTGTATTGTGTGGGATAGCTTGCTTTCTTTGAGACATGGATATGTTCTTGATCTGAAGACAATGCTCTAGAGATCAGTTGGGCAGCTACTCCACTTGTGTGTTTCTCTGAACTTCTGACTTCAGGGAAATGTCAGTTCAGAGCCTGTGAGAGCAACCTCTTTTTGGTAAGACAGGTCAAGGTACTCTTTATTAAAGGCAAGTTGATTGACTGGATGTGTATGCACTGGTGTGGAGTCAAATGGAATGAGACAGGCATGGGGTTGAGGTGATGGCAAAGGCAGGTCAAACACTTGGGGGACCTTACTCGGACCTCAGCTCTCTGGGTGTGCTCACAATTGGGGTCCCTACTCAAGTTCCAAATATCCATCTCCCACCCAGTGGTTTTTCACTCAGTGGTCCCTGCCCAGTGACACTTCATACAGCAGCCCCTGCCCAAGCATGGTTCTGTGTCCAATGGGACCCAAAAAGTCAAAATCAAATTCCCATCGACCTACTCACCTCTGACGGGTCTGTAGTGTCAGCAAAAGTTCAGACAGATTACCACTGGATAGCTTGTTCCTGGGCAGTCAGTGTGGCTCAAAAGTTATGTTGTTGTTATGTGCCATCACATCAACTATTATTCATAGCCATCCAATGAACAATGTCTCTGAAACTTGCCTTATTCTAAGTCAGTCTCCCCATTTCTGACATACTTACCCCATTGCCACAATCACTGTGTCATTCCATCTCATCCAGGGTCATGTATTCCAACATGACATTTTTAAAATTAATTTTAATGAAAGTTTACAGAGACTTAGAGTTTCCAGTCATTCATTGTTGCACTTTTCTCCCTGCCCACTCCTCCCCACAATTCACTCTTCTCCTTGAAAAAGAAAAGAAAGACTCTTTCGTTGTTATGCAATCCCTCCCCCCAAATCCACTCCACTATGCAGCCTTCATTCTGGACTCCTGTCATGACAATAATACTTAATCATATATCCCTTTTAAACAGTTTTCTCCCTCATCTGTTTCAGTGCAGTATATATCATTCCTCCCCTCCTTTTCTGCCTTCCCTCAACCCCGATGTCAGTCCCATTTTACAACAGTGGCCCTATGCAATATTTGTCCATTTGTAACTGAGTTATTTTACTCAGCATGATGTCCTCCAGGGACATCTATTTGGCATAGTATTTCATGAGTTCTTTATTTTTCAGTGCTGCACAGCATTCCATTGTGTGAATATACCAGACCTTCTTTATCCATTCATTTGTTGATGGGCACTTGGGTTGTTTCCAGCTCTATGCTATTGTGAACAAAGCAGCAATAAACATGGGTATGCATATATCTGCTTGGGTGGTGGAACATGTCTTTTTTTTTTTTTAGTGTCTGACATCATTTAATATGTTGCAAAAATATTCCTTTTTCTGTTTTCTCAAATTATTTGTATCAGACTGGAATTATTTATTGTTTTGATGATTTCTAGAATTCATGAGCAAAGGCTCTTGGCCTAGAGTTTTCCTTCTGATATTGTTTTTAATTACAGATCGGTTTGTTTTAATAGAAATGCAAGTACTTAAGATTTTATATTATTTTGGTGTCCTTCTAGTAAGTTATATATCTATTAATGTAGTTATATTATTTATTGTTCATGTTGATGTTGTTGTTGTTGTTGTTAAGTGCCGTCGAGTCGCAGGCGACTCATAGCGACCCTATGAAGGAGAGTCCTTGACACTTGGGTGCCTTTCATCCTCTCTCCAGGTTCATAGGGTTTCTGGAGGCAAGCTATTATGGAAGTGGACGCCACTCCTCCTTCCACACTTGTTTAATCGGGGAGCTCCACCCCACTCTCAGTCCACACTGGGTAGCCAACCATTAACGCATTTGACATATCCGTGTCACAGTGTTCAGCCTCACAGCAACCACAAGTGACCGCAGGACAGCAACTTGTACACCAGGGCTATATGACCTAGAGGCATATCTGAACAAAAACAATGAAAGACGGGCTGGGGGGCCGCAGGCCCGAGGGCCCTTTTGGGCTTGAAGCTGCTGGTGCCCTCAACCCAAAGCCAAGCGTGGCTTCCCTGGCTCTTGGAGGCAGAGTCGTCTTTCTCCAGAGACCGCCACAACACAACACAACTCCCACGTACACAGCATCATGCTCTCTGGCCAAAGGATCACAGCCACCCTGGCTGGGGCAAACCTGGGCGATTATGGCCATCTCCTCCCTCCTCCTCTTCTCCTTTTGGGCTTGAAGCTGCTTTAATTCTTTCATATACAGATGATCAGTAATGAATGATTTCTCCTTTTATATTGATAGAAGTTTTTTATTACGTTTCACTTTTTCTTATTTAGTATAAATACTTGGAATAAATGAAACTGTATACATACAAGATTTTTACACTAAGTATTATAAAACATTCTGTGGATAAAATTTAAACTATCTTGAAAAGTACAGGCGGAAATGGAGTCATATGACATGTTCATCGGTTGGAAGAATCAAAAATGTAAAGATGCCAGCCCTCATACTTGATCTATTATTGTTGAAATCCAACATTATTGATACTAATAATTTATCTACATAATATTTTGGATTTGGGGGCTCAAAAGTTATGTTGCTGTTACATGCCATTGAGTCAACAATGACTCATGTTGTTGTTATGTGCCAACTAATCATCAACCCTATAAAAAATGTCTCTGAAACTTGTCCTACCCTCAGCCAACCTCACTATCTCTGACATGCTTGACTCCATTGCCACAGTCACAGTGTCAATCCATCTCAACCAGCGTCTTTCTCTTCTGCACTGATCCTCTATCCTTCCTAGTATTATGTCCGGCTCTAAGGACTGGTTACATGCCCAAAATTATGTGAAATGGAACTTCAAAATCCTTGTCTCCAAGGAGCCAACTAATTCTACCCTCTCCAAGATAGAGCTGTTTGTTCTCTTGGCAGTCCATAGTATAGTCAATACTTTTCTCCAACATCACAACTCAAAGACATTAATTCTATCACTCTTATTCACTGTCCAACTGTCAGGTGCATAGCAAGCACTTGAGAACACTAAGGCATGGATCGCATGTGCTTAAGTGTCTAGACTCACAACATTGCTCTTCAGCATTCTGAAGAGGTCCTTAAAAGCTGACTTTCCTAAAGAAACATCTTTGGATTTCCTAACTGCTGGTACTAAGAGGATTGAATGTGAATCCAGGCAAAATAAAATTATAAATAGCCCAATCCTCTCTCCATCCATCATGATATTGTGTATTGGCCTAGTAGTGAAGATCTTTGTTTTCTTGATGTTGAGATGAAGGCTGACACTAAAATTTTTATGGAAATGAGAAACATACAGAATTGTAAAATCTTATAGAACAAAGTTGGAAGACATATACTCACTGATGTCAAGACTTACTACAAAGCTAACATAATTAAGAAAATGGTTTCTACTCTGTCAACTTTGTTATTGAGTCAAAATCAATTCATACTTGGTTTTTAGTTGCTCTAGCAAGTTTTTAAAGGCTGTAAGTCACACAGGAGAAAATGTCATACTGTGGAGCAGCTGGTGGATTCAAACTACCTGTATTACAGTTGGTAGCAGAATTCCCTAAGAATGTATAGACATAAGTATAAAGAAATAGATGGTTTGAATAAAATGAATCCAGAAATTAACTATGCAAATATGGTCAATTGCTTCTTAACAAAGGGACATATGCAATTCAATTGAGAAACAAATATTTTCAATAAATGATATTGAACAACACAGAGAGCTATAAGGATATGGTATGTATGAGTCATGACTCAGAGTTATGCCATGTGTGAACATGATTTTTAAATTTTTGTACCTCTTTATTTATGGTTTAAATTCTTTCTTCCATCTTTTGCAGTTTCTTCAGTAGTTGTTCATATTTTTCCACGTAAATATATTTCTTCTGTCTCCCTGTCTCTGGAGTGTTTGCTTGATCTATGGTTTTCATTCTCTCCTCTACCATTTGTACCTTATTGAGTAGATGTTCATATAACTGCACATCAACATTTTTCCCCCCTCATGTCCTTTGGGTATTGATTTGGTCTGCAATATATTCTGCTTTTTTAGGAAAAGGCTTGTTGTTGTTTGTTTGTTTTTTCACAATGTTTGAGACTGAGAATTGCTTTCTTGATATTATGTTAATTTTTCATGGTATAGGTTAGGCTATTTCTGTTATGCCTTCATAGGTTGTTGATAGTTCTTTATCTTTATAAAGCTATTGATAAGATGCAGGCTTAAAGAGTTCCCTTTATGGGGGAGGGAAACTCCCTCTACTGGAAGTCCTTTCTGGTTCTGTGCACCAGGAAAGTTCACTTTTTCTAAAATTTTTCACGTCCTCTCTGGTCTGCAGACAGCCCTATGCAAGTGTCACTTGAGTGCATCTCACCTCCCTTAACGTTTATTCTTGTCCTTGGTAGTCAGTAGCATTACCAAGTTCCCCAAATGATACATTTTCACTCCTAGGGAGGCACAGACAGCCCTCTCCAAGCACCTCTGCCATATGTAAATATGCATTCAAAATGAGCTGTATACAAAATATAAAACCAAAAACTATACTCTTCTTAGAAGAAAATATAGTAGAATATCTTTGAAACCTTAAATTTGGCAAAAATTATATTTTTTGTGTAGTAGCTAAAAATAATATCTGTTTAAGAATAATTACTATTGTTCTTTATAATTAAAAAATTTTGCTCCTGAAAAGGCACCCAAGCATCCAGGACTCTATTCATAGGGTCACTATGAGTCTCCTATGACTCGACGGCACTTAACAACAACAACAACCTGAAAAGATACAGCCTAAGTGCATCAAGAAATGAATGAAAAAAAAAAAA